CGCCCCATTCCAACCGAACCGGTTGGAATGGGGCGAGAAACCCACCCCTGGTGGGAATCCACAAGTTGATTAGGGGGTCTGGAGGCTAAAACATGTTGCAGGAATTGGGTATGTCTGAACACTCCAGCGCTGTTCCGAAGATGTCTCCATGGTCATGTGGCTGGCATGACTAAACTTCGAAGGCACATGGAGAGCTGTTCCTTTCCCACCAAAGGTGGTCCCTATTTTTCTACATGCATTTTTTATGGGCTTTCGAACTACTAGGTTGGCAGAAGCTGGGACAAGTAATGGGAGCTCACTCCGTTACGTGGAACCAGGGATTCAAACTGCTGAAATGCTGACCTTTCTGATCGACAAGCTCAGCATCTTAGCCACTGAACCACCACGTCCCTGATTTATATTGTGTAGGTGGGTTCAAATGAAAATCAATTCTGGGAGTTGAAGTCCACATGTTGTCAAGGAGCTACAGTGGCCCATCCCTGCCCTATATTGTCTTTGCTTCCCTTCCTTCTATTTTTCAGTGGTCCCCAACCATGTCAAGTGATCTTGCAAAATTAGGCAGAATGGGGATTGGAGTCATTTTATGATTAGAAGAAGAAAGGAATAGACACCCACCAATAAGAAAAGATTACCTTGCAACCCATCTGCTTTGGTTCACTTTGTCCTAGGTCAGGGTGATTTCCTTTGTCTTCTCACAGAAGGAAGGGCACTAGACTGGAAGTGGAATCTGATTTTAATATCGATGGTGGGGAAGGAATCTTACTTGACAGAGCAGTTTAAAACGTTCAGGGTGAGCCACAAGATATTCACACCTTTGCTTTCTGACACCTTACCTGCTCTGAATCCATCAACGTCTTCTGCTTAGCAGCTGCCTCACTTTGCCTAAAGGGACGTGGTGGCTCAGTGGCTAAGACGCTGGGCTTGTCAATCAGAAAGGTCGGCAGTTCGGCGGTTCGAATCCCTAGCGCCGTATAATGGAGTGAGCTCCCATTACTTGTCCAGGCTTCTGCCAACCTAGCAGTTCGAAAGCATGTAAAAATGCAAGTAGAAAAAATAGAGACTACCTTTGGTGGGAAGGCAACAGCGTTCCGTGTGCCTTCAGCGTTTAGTTATATTGGCCACATGACCACGGAGATGTCTTTGGACAGCGCTGGCTCTTTGGCTTTGAAACGGAGATGAGCACCGCCCTCTAGAGTTGGGAATGACTAGCACATATGTACGAGGGAAACCTTTACCTTTAGACTTTGCCTAAAAACACAGCTGGCCCTGTTCACTTTCTTAAAACAAGTTCCAGAGGAAAACACTGGAAGAATGAAATACCGAGTTAAAACGAAGAGTGAAACTAAAAGTAAGTTCCAAATAATGAAACAATTTCTTTAATGTGGTCTTCTCTTCATCCATAGGATGGACAGTTCTGAACATACATTTTGACCAGCATATTCTCTAGGAATCTTGGGAGTTATCTTCCAAGTCCGCCTACACAAGGTAATTTAGCAGAAACTGTTATAGTAGTACTTAAAAGGAAATGCATTTTGGAGATGCCTTGCGTCAGAGGAAAATGCTGTATTCCAATTGTTCCCTTTTCAACAGCTGCTACTCAGAGGTTGATTTAATAGCAGTCGTTCCCCCCACCCCAGCAATGAGTTCTAATGATGAATAAAATGTTCGATTCAATTTGGTCACCAAGCTGGATGTTTGATCTTGAAGAATATTCTTTCAGATAGACTTTCAAAGAACCTTGAGGCAAATCAAGCAACAGAGTTTGAAGAGGTCTCTGAAAAGAATAGGTGATAATCTCAGGTTTTTTAATTTCATTTCCAAGGCCTTTTCCCACACAAAGTTCTTACTGGAAAGCGGGTAGCTCCAAGGCTTAAAGAATGGGTTGCTTCCCTTCAATAACTCAGGAGGGCTACTTTGAAAGTAGAAGGTCAACACAGTAGAAGTTCACCAAACACCCACTAATTGTGCAAACTTTGGAAACTGCCTTAAACCAAGTTTGTCAAATCCCAGCCCGGGGTTGGTCAAACCTGGGGGGGGAGATGGGTGGTGGTTGAGCATTGATAAGGGTGCAGCGCGGCGACAAGAGGAGAGGCTGAATTTCTACAGGCTGAAACCTGGCTGTTGCACAACCAATTGGGGCTGCCACGCAGCTGATCGGGGACTTCATGCCAGAAGCTGAGCTGAGAACCACGGCACAGTTGATTGAGGCCTCCACGCAGCTGATCGGGTCTGCCGCAGAGCTGATTGGGGCTGCCATGCAGCTGATTGGGGGTCTGTAAAAACATTCTAAGATACATAGGATATAGAGGTCAATAAATACTTTGGTATTCATAAAGGCAACAAATTTGGAATTCTAGGTCAATGCCAAGCTTCCTTAGGGCAACCTGGATTTCTTTTTTCCCCCTTCTTTTTGAAAAAATCCAGACAGAAAATTCTTTGTTACTATGTAATGATTATCCAAGAATAAATCCTGTTACTCTAGGTTCCCCAGGCTGGGTGCTCTTAGATGGATTAGGACGATCTTCAGAATTCCAGGTCCACGTGACCAGAGTTTTCCCCCCAAAACATTTTTGCTATCAAAACATGAACATGGAAGGACAATCAAAATATTTTTGACAGTCTCCCACATCACACCATCAATGGGGTCTAATTCCCCAGGCACTAAGACGAACACTGTTAGGAGTTTGAAAACATGAAAATGTGAGTAGATAAATAGGTACCACTTCAATGGGAAAGTACCAGTGTTCCATGTGCTTTGGTGTATAGTCATGCTGGCCACATGACCACAGAGTGAACTTTGGATAATGCTGACTCCCTTGGGTAGGAAATAGAGTGTCAGGATTCTGATGGATGCCCTAATTAATTCATTAGCCTCGAGCCAAGTTTCAAAATAAATCTAATTATTTATTAGGAGCAACATGTCAGCACCTACAGGAGTAGAGTCAGCTCTGCTCCACGTGATTTATGGCCCAACCATGACCCTGTTTCCCCCCTCCTTCCAGGGTGTGCCATAAATCTCATTCTCCAATGGAGTAGATTCGTGGGCTGTAGAAAACACGCTTCTCCAGCTGGCTCTGGTAACCTGGGATACAATCTGGAGAAAGGAATGTGTTTCTGGTTGTGGCAGCCAAGCTGCTTCATCAGTTCTCCCATCTCCTGCCTATGGCAACTCGAGAGCAGGCCAGGAATGCTTTATGAATTGACATAGAGATGAGCACTGCCACCTGGATTCAGACTCAACTAAACAGGGGAAACCTTCACCTTTTCATTCTGAAGCAGCAGACATAACATAGGTGAGTGTGTTGCAGTATTTGTAACCAATCCTACCTCCATCCTGTATAGGTTTCAGAACAGGATACTCTTACTAAGAGGAGAAAACTGTCAGGCAGGTTTCATGGTAGTAGCTTGGGGAAATAGGAAAAGCTTATGATATTTCATCTTGTCAAATCTATTTTGTGCTATTTTTTGGGGGGGGGATTTCGATCCGCACCCAAGACAACCTTTGTGCTAGTAGGTGCTCTGATCTCAAATTTGAGCACTTCTGAGCCGTTGCTCCAGCCTGTCTCTGACATGGCTATTTTAAAATGTTCAAAAAGCTTTGTATAAATTCCCCTCACACTATCCTTAAAAATATTTATAGTAGGCTGGTACACCCGCCATCCTTATTACAACAATTACCAAGAGAATCATTCACATATTCAGTCTATGTGCTAATTAGAGGCTGCATTCATATCCCAGCCGTGGTTATTTTTACCTTAGATTTTATTAAATTAATCCAGTTTTATGGGTGGGAGTTGATGCCCTGAATCCTGAACTAATCCTAGATCCTGGGTTTCCCTAAGATATTTAAGGTGATGACTGAATTAATGGGTTTAATGACATAATGAATCATAAATCAAACAAAAGGGCCGGGTTCGTAAAGAAAGCCAAACTTCAAACAAACAAACTTGGTTTAAAACTAATCAAACTTCACATGCTGTGCAATTACAAAGCGTATATCCATAGGGGTCAAGCTATTCTCCAAGGCACCCGAAGGCCAGACAAGGAACAATGGATGG